AAAAGTAAATCAGAAGAGAATTTATAGTAAATAAGCAGGCAAATTTGCCTGCAAAACCCTACGATTTAAGGGATAGTAGATTATTTTTTATTTTATTTTGTAGACTGATAAATCAAGTCTTAAAATCCTTATGATTATAACATCATATTGTCTTTTGAATAAGAAATGAAAATGAAGGATATAAATTTTTTTAGAGGCTGATAAATCAAACCTTTTATGTAATCTTAATTTATCATAATTTGTTTAGAGTAAAAGGTGTTGAAAGAAAAAGATTATTTTATAGTTTTACAAAAAAAATGAGAGTAATATGACACATAATTTTTTTTAGCATATTTTACTTATTAATCCATTAATTGCATCTTTCATGATTGATATAGCACAATATTTTTAAGGAGCTTTTCAAATAATAAATTCCATTGATTGTCTCAATATAATTCTTGTTTGGAAAGACGAGAGCCTAATATAAAAAAAGAATCTTTAATTTTTCACGTGATAAGTTCATTAAGAACATTAAAATATTCGTTGTTTAAGTTGTTTAAATTTATTCAATGTTTCATGGAATTTATGATTTATTATTTGTTCAACATTTATTTATTGTTGCGACTTTCATGAGAAAATATTAACTTTTTAAGGGGTCATTAATTTTATTTTCGACATTTTTTTTAAGGTTCATTGAGTATAATATTACAATTATGATTGTTCGAGCCTTCCGTGAAATAAACTTATTCTTTTTTAAGGGCTCATAATACTATTCCTTATACAGAAATTATATTCGCCCAATATTTAAATTTAAATTTTAATCACACGAAATTTTTTTTAAGTTTATTGATGAAGCATTTTAATTATTTGTTTATTATTCGCGTCTTCAACGAATAGAATATAAAAATTTTAAGGATTCATTAATATAAATTTGTTGTAAAACAATTTAATTTGTTTATTTTCGCACATATATACGGCAATTTATTTATATAAAGTGATTTTGTAAAAATGTAACATTAAATATTGTGAGTACGTATATAGAAAATTTTCGCTCCGTAAATATACCGCATGTTCGTAGTATAGTTTTTTTATATGTGGTCTACACTTCTAAACTAAATTTGATTATACGACATTTGATGTCAAACAAACATTCATATTACCCTTGTCATTGTGAATTTAAAGTTTTCAATGCATAAAAAAAAAATATCACTTGATCCTTAACCTTATGCAGTATATACTTGGAACATGAATAATTTTGGTGTTTCATACAGCGGCTGTTTTCCATGAAAACATTCTATCAAAAGATAACTTTTTCTGATTGTTACAAGCAAATCCGTGTCGTGACAAGCACAATTTATCTTTTTGTCAAATGTTGATTACTATCCGTGTAATTAATTTCATAGTGTTGCTAAAATAGCATTTTATAGAATGTAATTATTAATTTTGACATTGTTTTGGACATAAATTCAAATAACGATAAATTTCACTTAATAATTTACTATTGTTATATTAAAAAAAATAATTTATTGATTTATTATTTAAACACTCTTTAATATTTTAAATTTAAAAAATTATTTTTTATAAGAACGAAGTTAAATAATCACTTTGAACCAATCATATTTAGGTTTATGAATAGTAAAAGGTGCTGCGTACGGTCAGTTTCTACTTGGTGTACCATTAAACAATACAAAAGGATGCATGAAAAAATCTTGAAAATGCTGTGACATCCTTTGCTCCTCAAATAATATCAAATTATTTACCGAATTATAGAAAATTTTTTATTCGATAATAATTGCAAAATATTATCTACCGGACCATAAAATTTTCTTAATAGGGAAATAATAAACATAAAATCAGCCAACAACTTGTTTATCTGTTGTAACAAATTTTATATTCTAAAAAGGTTGTCGCTATATCATAAAATATCTATTCAACTTCCATATGAAGAACGTTGTCATTGAACTTACAAAGAATCTATTTTGATCAAACGAACCCTCATTTTTTTTTTCAATTGAATACCTACTTTCGGCATATTTTTTGTGAATCAATTCATTATTATTAGAAAACTTTACGGATTTTTATTTTTATTTTTTGATAAAAAAAGCAAAAATTAAGTTCAAACATTTTATTGTACTATTTAAACCAGTTTATTTTAAAATCATTCCGCCGAATAAAAGGATTCTTTGTATAAAAATATAAATCAATGTTACATTTAATTAACCAGATTAATTATTTTTATGACAAATAGAAAAATTTTCATTATAAAAGAACCTTTGAAAACCCTTTCATCGGTTTATAACAAAAGAAATTTCATCGTAACAAAAAAAATAAAAATAACACTGTAAACCCTTTCAATTTCACAAAAATTTCAAATTGCGCGTTGTTTAAATATAATGACGCATACTTCAATAATAAACCTTCAGACAAGGTCAAATATAATAAGTATTATTGACTTTTATCATCCGATAAACTTCTGGATGAGAGCAAGAATATCCAGCAAGTGGAGTAAAATTCTCTATAAAGAAAGAGTTTATCCGGGACGGCCGGACAGGAGGAATACACAGACGGTCAAGAAGATTATCCTGGATTCAGCGGGGCAAGTATCCGGACACTGTTGGCCAAGAGGAATATCCGGATACTGCTGGACAAGAGGAATATCCGGCCCGGCCAGCGGTTGAAGATTCGGCCAATTGCTGGACTAGATAGATACCTTTCAGCAAATGACGATTTCGAAAATATTTAACTCCCTGTTTCAAATAATTCCTTATTAACAACACTCCCTTAAATTAAGTGACGCGTTATTTAGAATAGTTTTCCTTTTTTTTTTGTAAAAATTTTATTTATATTTTATTCAATTTGCTAATAATTAATTAAAAATTAATTTTAAATGTTAGAGAAAATTCAATGTTATATAAATTATTTTTAAGATTTTTCGTTAATGAAAATAAAAATTATGAACTATATTATTATTACAATAAATCGAAAAAATTCACATCGTTTTTGATTGAAATTTTTAATGATATATATATATTTTTTAAACTTTTCAATGTATAGTTTCGACTTTAATTTTTTTTTTCCTTCATTTTATAATAAAATTTTTTTCTAGAACTTCTTATTTCGATAATTTTTTTGTCAATGCCATATTTCCATATTTTTTTTTTTTTTAAAATAAAAATGTTTTCACGTATAACGATGATTGGCATAAGCATTTTGACAATTCTTTAGACGACAGAACATTGAGCGTTTTAGATTGACACCCCATTATACTGTAAGTAAATAATTCATTCATGTTAATATTTAGTGTAAAATCGAAATATCTGATAATCCTAAGTAATAAACTTTTCGTGTTATAAATAATGTCTTTACTAGGATCATCTTCACGAAATTATTTACACTTACATGTAATAGAGTTTAAATTTTTTTTAATAAGGTTTTACAATATGTTTTGCTAATAATAAAAGAAAAAGCATATTTTCTACGCTTTGGACAGTAAGTATATTTACTTTATTGATTAGCCACGATAGATTTGATGGTGAAAAATCAGTTAAAAATATTCCAAAAAATTTGAGATAAAATAAAACAATGGTTACGTTTTGATTTTTATTAATTAGGATGTTGCCTATATATTATTGAGTCAATTTTCTTCTTTTAAAGTTTTAATGACAGGTAATCTTTTAGATTTATAATAATTATTATCCATTATATTGTTTGATAATGAATATGTAATTGGACGAGGATGAAGAGTTTTCAGATTTATAAAAAACAAGATCTTCCAAACAAGTTGTAAGCCGTTCTTGATTATTATTAGTTGGTCTTTTTCCGGCATTTATTCAGCTTTATAAATGCATACGGAAATAGCTCCCAAATGACCTTTATTTTTTGTATTTCTTGGTATATCTGATACGAAAACATTTTCATCCTTCCAAATTGCTGAATCAAATTTATGTGTATATCATGTTTTCCATCAACAATGTGTCTTTTAAACAAGTTCGGATCTTTTTTAGAAGGTATTCCAACTCTAATAGCAAAAATGACAGTTAGGTCACATTTTTACTAAAATAATAAAACGAAAGATGATAATTAGAAGATTTGGGTGTAAAAATGAAAGATGATAAATATAAATAATAAATACTCTTTTTCTTACTATATTTAGAAACTCTCTTTTATTATTAGAATACGATGAATACGATACCAATTGGTATCCTAAAATTTAATCTAATCCGTTAATTTCATCATCCCGAGATTCAAAATTTTTTTTTTTAAACTCGAGTATTTCCATGCTAAATTATAAGAAGACCGGGCTTTTTTTGATTGAAACTTTAACATAATAAATAATAACATTTATTTATTTAAATGCCCAAATCGAACAACAATTTCTTTCTCGATTATTTTGGTATTAGTTTTTATGAACTATGGCCACAAAGGTACGAAGCATTTATTTACATTAACCATTAAATTTTCTAGTATTTTAGATTTAAAATCTCATCTATATATCGAAGTTTAAACTTTCTAGGTATTTTATATTAAATGTAACAAATGGTTGTTTTTGAGGTTAATGATTTTCTTATAATTTTTATTTTAAGGCACAAAAATAATTAAAGTTGTACATCTAATTTAACAAGAAGAAATGGGTATATACCGTCGATGCTTCATAATTACCTACACGAAAAAATTCGATAATAAATTTTTGTCATATAGTTTTGATTTATTTAGTTGACTACCACCCCATCGTAAAGTGCATCAAGATAAAAATATTTTTTAATGCATATAACATGTAAATTATTATTATCAAATTTTATTATTTCTTTAATCAGCTAACCTTTAACAACCATTGGTTGAATATTTCGAAAAAATATTCTAATCAAAATTTTATCGGAGCACTAGAAAACTCTGGAACTATTGTCTCGGTGAGAATTTGGTCGGTTATCTAAGATAACTAACTGTCCTAGGTCAGTGGATGGATGATGGATTTTTTATAATAAGAGTTGTAGAACTAGAAATGGTATATTATTTTTTATTAAGTATAAAATCAATATTTTTAATTGTTTACAATATTACAAGTACTTATTTTTACAAGTTACAAACATTTTGAGTAACTGAATTAATGATGTAAATAAAGTTGTTCACCTTACGTTAAAACACATACTCTCTTGATAAAGCAACACTGTATGCACCTTCATCTTCAACAAACACGATGCCTGGATTTAAATTGATTATCACACCTTACGAGAAAAGTTGGTAATGAATAAAACACACACTCTCTTGATAAAGCAACGCTGTATATGCTCCTTCATCTTCAACAAACACGATGCCTGGATTTAAATTGATTATAAGTTAACTGAATTATAGTAAAATCAATAAATGTTGCAATGGAAAGGACCTAAATTAAATAAACTCCTGTACCCACAACTCCAGAAGACCAAATATTTCTCAATCCACAACGATGTGGACGCGGCTTTATGCTGACAGTTCTGCCTTATATTGCTATAGAAATTGCAACTTTTCGTTGTTTATATTCTTAACGTCGTGCGATCACATGCATTGAGCACAAAATCCAACTGACCCAAGATGTTACCGATTCCAACGAGATAACATTAATATTAATAATATTCTTGAAAAATAAATTTGTTAGATAATTAGAATAAAGAATTTGAAATTAGACCCAGTTGAGATCTGCAGGTTGGCCGACAACATCAACTCAGGTGTTACACGGTCAGATGAAATTTGGATATTTCGGTACAGTCAACTCTCTCTAAGTGCATCCCCTCGGGACAATAGCATTTAGAGAGAGTTGACTGTATGAGAAAATCTTGCTGACCTTGATTTAACACAAGAAAAAAAATCTTTACGCATTCTCTTCATTAATAATCCTATTATGAGAACTAAAATGGAGAAAATTATTCCTACCTGTAAAGACAATGGAGAGGTACTTGATTATTTGAAAAAACTCCTAAAACCTGGTATGTTCTCACAGAGATTCGAACGTAATATAAAATAATATGGCTTGACTTTTTGATATCCGTAGCTTTTATTCTCATATGATGACAAATAATTAAAGAAACTATTAGTTACGAACTAATCATATTGTTAATTTATTTTAGATCTCAAAATAGTAAACACTCTGATTTCAGAAAATGAAATTAAACAAAAATAGAAAAATTTTGGTAATTTAGTTAATTATATTCAAACCTTGATTTGGCTGAAAGGAGCACAGTTCGATCTTATTCAGAGATGTAATGCTGAAGTAGTAGGCTAGAGAAATAATTATTTCTCTTCTCGGAAATGAGATACCTTCAAAAAAGTGGATGAAAAGGTTATGATCGAACAAAAGTTGAAACACCTTCAACAAACATTACCAATAAATGGAAGAATTGTTTCGTTTAAAATCCTCCTACGAGAATTCAGGCTGACGAGGAACAACGCAAACAAAAGCAAGGAAACGTAAGAATAATGAATTATCATGGGGAAATAATAGTCCCGTCACTCATTCATCAACTCCGTGGGCAAAGATGATACTCAAATCTCTTTCACTACGTGAAATTCAAGAAATGGAACCGCTGAACGAAAACTGCTGCGTCCACGGTTACTACTCATTCCACCGTATGATTTCAAAGGAAGAATCAACACCCTCAAATTCTTCTTACGGAATCATTGGCCCAAATTTAGTTCGTCTTCTCCTTTCTACTTCTCCTGTAGTTAGTACACTAGCATGTCAGTTTAACAATTCTGCTCCTAGAAATTCAGAAAGAAAGAGGAAGAAGCATAACAGGATACGTGAAATGCGTAACAAGTTTTACTTCGATCTAATTATAGAGCTGGAACAAATAGTTATGAGAAACGCTATGCAGATGCAGTAATACAGTAGTCTCAGGAAGAAAAGGTAAGCATCAAACTTTGTATAAAAATGAATTCTTTTACTTTTATTAATATTATTAAACTTATAGAAGCCCGAATCTATTTCTATGAATACTGTTGTTGGTAGAAAGTCAAGCAATCGTGCTCAATCTAATAACGCTACTATAAATGTGGTATCAAAGCCTGCAAAAAGATTCGACCGTAGTAGCTTGGGATATGGTTTTTTATATTGGTATAAATGATTTAAGGTATTTTATATTATTCATTAAAAGTTCTATTTTGTATTTACAGTAATAAACTTCTCCTGATATTAATTAAATATCATTACATCACAAAGTCAATTAATCAAGCCATCAGAAAACTTAAAAATAGTAATAAAGCAACCTCTTTCAACTTGAGTTTGTCAAAGACTTCAGGCAACGTCGGTATTAATTCTTATGAACATTTTTTACCTCATTCTCCTTCGGAATAATTTTTGAAATGGTGTCGTTAAACTTTACATGGGTTGAATTATGTGAAGGTAAATTTCTGGTTCAAAAATTTTTTTTTCATTTATATTTGTTTATTTATAATTAGAATTAATGTATAAAGCATTCTGTTATTTTTTTCTATAATAGGGATTTTATTTAGAAGTTGCTTACATTCCCACTTGATCCTCTTCTGCCACCATTGAAATCATGCAAGATTCGATTATGCTAATTCATCAACTCTAGGTGACCAAAGATTTGCTGTTGAATTTATTGAGACGTAAGGCAGACGCTAGCGGATTTGCCGTTTAGTTTACTATGCTCAATATAATCTTGGTCGTTTATACGAAAAGGGTGAAGGAACAATAAAGGATTTGACGTATGGCTCGGTATCTACAAAGCAACAAAATCTGGTCATCTTCTTGCATAACATAATCTTGGTCGATATACGAAAGTAGAGAAACAGGAACAACTCGTAGTTTAAGATTGGCCTTTAAATGGTATCGTGAAGCGGTCGATATCGCTTCACAGATTAAAGTTGATCTCCTGTTTGAAAAAGGGGGAAGGAACGAAAAAAAAATCTCGAAAAGACCTTCTACTGATATCAACTAACATCAGGAAATAAAAATCCACAGTCGGACCTCCCTAATCGGTTCCCATGATTTTATAGAGGTGTGACTGGCAAAAAGGTATCTTCTATTTAATCACTATCATATTAAAAATCATGTGAAATGACTAAATAGAGGTTATTAATTGTTATAATATAAATTGTATATTCGCAAAATCATTTATTTATTAAAATGTAATTATAAATGTTTAAAACCAATATAAATGCTATTAAAAACTAAAAAAATCTGTAATTGATGCCTGTCTTCGAGATTGTTGCTCAAGCCGTTTAACTATCTTGAAATACCTTTTAAAAAGGTTTAAATCCTTCACATTAAATTCATCTATAATGTTGCTCAAAAAATGAAATCCAGGTCTTTAAAGATTAAGAGCATCAGAAGATACTAAAATTTCTTCTTCAGGATCACTATTTTGATCATATGTTTCCTCTTGAATTAATCTTACAATATCATTTCATCTAAAATATTCTCAGTTGGGATTTCTTCCAACTTCTAAAAAAATCAGTTATTGCATTAGCTAATGAAATAGCCAAAGGATTATCTATAACAAGTTCGATCATTTGATCAATATCAGCTTTCTCAATCTCCATTTCTTCTTGTTGGATTTGTAATGCATCATCTCTATCAGAAGGTAAAATTTTAGTTTTTCTCCAACTGTTTCTTCAGTTATATAGTTCTATGCTTCTGCAACAATCATAGTTAATTGCTTCTTTATAGTAATCCTTTCACTATTTATATCCTTTCCAGCTTCAAATAAATCCAGTATATGGGAGCTGATCTATTAAAAATGGGTGACGGGAACTTTTTACAAAAAATGAGATTTTTGATTCATATTATAGTATATTATATGAACTTTATTTGGTTAAATTTT